GTCATCTGTGGAATAAGCGCAGGGGCGGTAAGGTTAATTCATGTTCCCTTGCGGTGTAAAGAAACCTCCCGCTGCAGCTGCACCGTCAGTGCGTTGACGCCAGCTCACGAAAAGACGTGCAAAGCTTCAAAGAAAATGCTAGCTAACGCTAGTTGTGCAGCGCATTATGTATAATACTAAGCAGCACCCTTTCCAGATGCACCACATGCAGTTCGAATTCTGCCATTTCGACTACGGAATGCAATGATTCAAAAATACATAAAAGGTGCTGTTTCTCAGGAAGCCAGGCCCATGCTTTATGAGCAGCTCGAGCCCTTTCCCACAGCTTGGATTACTCATTTGCAGCCGCCTTATCTATGGAGAGGATGAGCCTTCCGATAAATCGAGCCTCTGGAGTGCTAAGAAAACAAAGCTCCTGATTACAGCGGAGTGATTGGCCACAACTGGCCTAATAAACATTTGTGAAACCAGAGGAAAAGTCCATGTGACTTACAAAAGCAGTTTAGGAAATGTAACCATTGGTTCCAGCTGCATATACATGAAATATTTAAAATAGTTGAAAAAAGCCATATCTCATAAAAAGCATCCATGTTGTTTTTAAGCTGCGAAGGAAATGTTTATCAAGCTTTTCTCTGTGCATCTTGAATTGTACATAACGGCCAATAAATTTACAGGCCGAATCACCATAATTTCAAACTCCTAAAGTCTGCGTGTACATTTTCTTTCGGTTTTACTTTTACTCACATCCGTCAAGGACAGCATTGCGGGGGGAAATTACACTGCAGACCATCTCCCCTCACCATCCTGAAATAACAGGTCTGTCTCGTTGAAAATGGGGCTTTTAAGTGTGGATGTGATGCGCCGTGGTGTAATCCGGCAGAGACACAACCCCTTCTCCCTGGCAGCCGTCTGCAGATTCTCACCGCCACCCTAGCCTCCCTCTCTCTCTCCCTCTCCCTCCCTCTCCCTGAACTGCCACAGCCTGGCCGCACTCTCTGTTTACTTTGAGCCTCGGCTCCTTGCTTCTCCTCTGTGATAGAAAAATTGAATTTTTTTCCCCTGAATACTGATGTAGCTTAGAAAAGATAAGACATGTCTTGTTCATATACACAAAGTTGCGAGTGTGTTCATGGAAATTTGAGGGAAGAAAATCTGTCATTGCGCTTCATTTACATTTAAATAAAAATCAGCACCTGTGTCTGAAGATTAATGCATTTAATCTGATTTGAGACTGAAATGCACACACACAAATTTTAATATGATGCCTAAAACTCGATTAACATGTTTTAAGAAGTGTAAATGTTATGCTCTATTATTAATAGTAGTAGAATGTATTAGTACAGCATATATAGTATAGTAGTATAATATTAGTCATGTTTAATTTGTATAATTATTACTTTTAAATTTAAAAAAATACTACAGGCCAGCTGAAAAGAACGAGACCGTAGACGGTACGTAAATACTTTCTCTAAACACCACGTTCCTTCCTTTCATAGCCATCCTACGCTGTTCTGCTGCTGAAGCTAATTAAAGTGGCAGCCCGTGCTCTCGCCGCCATTTGGGAAGGTAAGGCATCTCAGTGCCACAGAAGCTTTTGAGAAGTGGAAACAAATGTTTCGCAAATTGGCAGAAAGGGCACTGCCAGATCCTGAGCGTTCCGCTGATTACCAATCGTAAAATAACCCTTGTCATAAAAAACAGGTATTTAGCCCACCAAAGGCCACAGCCTTAAGCGTACTGCATGAAATACAATGTCTGCTGCCTTCAGGGAAAAAAAGCCTTGTTTATTTCCTTTAAAATGGTGAGTAGTTATCGGCACAGCATGAGTTCAAAACACTGTGTAAACACATGACTGCATAAAATCGGGGGAAAGAAATGGTCTGATTTGAGATTATTGCATTGCACTGCGCATGGCTGAGCTGTGAGGAAGGGGCATCAATTCAGTTTAATCGCCTTTTCCCCACTTTCGCGTGTAGGCCATTCCCTTTTCCTGCTTAATCATTTGCGCCCTCTCTTTACTTCAGCACTGAAAGAACAATGTTACGGCAGAGTCAGGTGAAGTACCTCTAGTATACATGCTTTGCTTGAAATGGCCACGCGATCACTGACCGGCAAGCTTTAATACAATATACTTATTAATGGAACGCACTGTAACTGGACAGCAATGTACATCAGCACATTACCTTGAAGCTATTATTTGTTGCCAATGCAACTGACTGAAAAAAGTCTCCTGGTTTGCCTCAGAATCCACATCGTTGTGCCAACAAAAGTAATAGAAGAAGAGCTCTATATTCTACCACGTCACTGTATATGGGGTTCACTTCTGAGCATGCACGATATAGAGTCCCTAGCGTATTTACACATCTGATTTCACAGTTGACAACTGTAATGTTTCATTTATGCACAGTTCCCCCATATCGGAGAACATGAACACATGCCCTTGATGCAGAACACATGCTGATTATCTTTAAAACAAAATACGGAGTCATAAATCCCACAATAAAAGTCCACTGATCTTCTAAAAATTCTACTGAGAAAGAAAAAAATGGTGAGAAATGCCAAACTATATGAAAAGCAGTAACAGGTCATATAGAAAAGGAAACAGAGCCTTCTTTGTAACTGTGAAGCTGAACAATCCCAATAATACTGTTGTACTTATGTCTGGATCACTGTATCCACACAAAGCTTACCGAGTGCTAAGTCCAGGAAACTCTGCAAAGTTAAGGTTTTAGGAAGAGACGGCAAGTCATTTAGGCCAAATACAAATGATCCTTGGGGTGATATAAAAAAGGCCGCTTTTTAAAAGACACACTTCCATGAACTCACCCCCCTCAAACTCTAGATTTATTATTCAGTTATCGATCTTAAGTCTTATAATCCAGTCATCCTTCCGCAACAACTATGAAACTAATATATAACGTATGTGCTTAAATGAGGAGGCGAAGCCTGGACCTGCCGACAGGACCTTTGAGTTTAAGGGGTTAAAGCGGAATACGTGTGTACGATTTCTGTGCAATCCTAACCGAACTGATCCTATTTTTTTTTTTCTTTCACCGAACTTACTGATAGATCTAAAAATCAAGCTTTTATTTTGGCGTTTATCTTTATTATTTTTTCTCTGATAATGGTGTGAAAAGAAGGAGGAGAGAGCCAAGGAAAAAATTTCCTTTGAACCAAATGGGATGGGATAGTGTTTTCACACAGCAACACAAAGAAGCAGAGAGACGGACGACATGCCTCCCCCCATTCCGCCCCCTCCCACTCCATAGGCCCCTGCTAAAACTAATGGGCACAAGGCTGAAGGTTCTCCTATTGAAATGGTTTCTCGGGCCACTTTGAAATGCTAATAGTACAGCTTCAAACAGGGGCCATTCACACGTACATGAATTCAAAATATTTTTTGGGCCAGAGTGTGTCTACAAAAAGCCAAGCACTGTGAAATACGAGCAGGCCCGGAATCTCAAATTTAAAACAGAAATTGCCACAGATACCATGTGGTACCACTTAGAAGGTGCACTTGTGAAAACTTTTTAGGGGTTAACCATAATTGATGCTAGATGTTTTGCTGTTGTGCAAGCTATCCAGTAGCAGCGACAAATGTATTTTTCAGTAATAAGCTCTATCTTTTTTTTTTTTTTTGAAAGTTGATAGCATGAAAAATACTTATTCTACCGGTACTTGAGGTTCTGTTGAAAATAACTGAATTCCTACAAAACTTTAAACGTGGACTGAATTAGTGTTAGCGTCTCTTAGCTCCTGTGCTGCATCACACCGCACAATATCCACACTATACGCCTGCATAGCCTGGGTTTTAGCCTATATATCACCCTTGAATTCTGCCTTGAAGTCTCTCTCACGCCTTGTATTGAACCCCAAAGCCCACCCAACTGCTTTTAAAGCCTTTATAGCCATAATGTGCCGCCAGTCGTTAACTGTGTGAAATATGCTGTTTGACCCTCAGCCTCGGACACAGCGGCCAAGTCCCGCTCAGCGAGATTCACCTCTCAGTCTTTACCACTTGGCGGCCCGCAGCTTAATAATTCGTTCACAATAATCCAGTTTTACCGCGTATTTTATATAAGTTTGAACATCTTAAATATCTGAAATATCTTAAATATCTCAGCTCAGGGCTTTCAGGCAAGCATTTCCAACTTGTTCACTGCTGTTTAATCCACGGGCTGCCCCACTCAAAGCGTATTCATCTGATCCGATAGACTTTGGGCCGTTTAAAGATTTTAAGTTATGGCTGTTTTTTTAAAGCCTCGGCGTTTAAACCTTAACGGCTTTTTAACTACGGAGAAAATCCCGACGAGGCCCGAAACTGGACAACGCGAAATTCAAGATGCTTCACTGAGTTTCAACAGAAAAAAAAACTGCCACAGGTCGCCACAGGTCTCGCCATTAGCCAAAGCCGAAGGTAACGACAGCAAACGGAACTGTGAGGAAATAAATAGTTCGCCGACGTTTTTAAAGATTGAATTTCCTATTAAACGCCTCTATGGGTTTTGGTTCATGTGCTCTAATAGTTTCCATTCATACTCATTGTGTGTGACTATGTATGTGCGGGCAAGAGAGATGGCAGCCGACCAAAGCCGTCCACATCTGGCTGTGTTTTGATTAACCATTTCTCAATTAGCCATGCTAGCCCTCTCGATCATTTTAATCACTCCAAACAGAGCGGGTTTGTTCGTTTAAAGTAAGTGAGACGCAGTCGGGCTCTTTCCCTTCTGCACTAAGGTTTGACGCAGCCCCTCTGGGTGATTCATTTGCGGTGTGAAAAAGTTAAACATACACAGTTCTAGCTTGTGATTGATATCATGATCTGACAACGCGGCCGCGATTCTGTTAGCGTTAGCTCAGCTCACCGGGATCCTCTGGCACGGTCGAAAAGTTTCTGCACTCAAAGCAAAACTTGAAGGACTCCGGTGTGGTCTAAACTTACCACGGGGAAAGATAGTGGAGGGCTGAGGGGGTAAAAACATACTTAAACTGGCTCTTACCTCTCTGAGAGATTCGGTCGGTTTCAAAAAAATGTGAAAAGGGGTGGACGGTGGAGGCTGAAGGAGCTCCTCCGCGGCTCGAAGCACGACCAGCGGCGTTGAGTTGGAAGCTCTGAAGCTGTGGTACATGCTCGGCTCGCCCGGGACGGAGAGCGCCTTTGCGGCTGAAGGTGTGCGGGGCTCTCGGACTCTTCACATTTCGGCCAGAGCCAGAACCGTCCCAACAGTCCCACGACAGCTCACTTTCGGACTTCTGAGCTTTAGTTGTTAAAAACACAGCGTTCAGCCTCGGCTTTCCTCCTCTTCTCCGACTGAACTAAAAGATGCGGAGAAGTAACGTTAAGGCTGAAGATGAGCGGAGGTGCGAGTCAGTCAACCAGCTCCAGCTCTCTTCTGAGGTAAAAAAAACACCAAAACAAAGAAAAAAGAAGAAAAGAAAAGGCCCGTCTTTTTTGTTTAATTCAATCCTGTTGGAGCTTCTCCGTAGCGGGACGAGCGTCTAGGAGAGCCGGCGTGTTTCAAACAGCTTTGGTTTGGAATCCTGCTGTCGGCGCTGAGAGAAGCAGCCTTAGCATAGAGGAGAATGGGCTTTCCAAAGGTAAGGTAGCTAAGAGCTAGTGCAGAGAGAGTGGAGGGCGATGTGTGCTCGGGAGCTGCCGGCAAAACCTGACGTGGATTTCTGTACTCGCCGGATCCGGACTACTGGGTTGGCGGTGGGGGGGTGGCAAAGAAAACTAATCATATAAACATATTAGCATGTACAGCAAGAGCAAAGCTCTGCTTTTTAGCCGCAACTGTTGCGAAAGAAGATTACAGAGAGCAGGGTAGGAAGGCGAAGTAGATTATCTATAAATATATGCCACTATTGGCTATTTTCCACTCCATTTGAACGGCTACATGCCCTTCTTTGGGGCATTGGAGACTCAATCCCTCTCACAGTAGGCAGTCCAGTCTATTCAGCCAATGACTGCAGACATTTTCTTGCTGTAACTCTAGCATGCATCAAAAAGAAGAGGCAGAAAAAAGTGCAGATTGCTTTTTTTCTCTCCCTCTCTCCCTCTCAACCTGACCTCAATCAGAAACAGAAAGACCGAAAGCCGCGCCACTATGCATGGAGCCGAATGGAGCAAAACAGCGAAAAAAAAGGCTAACGCCGCTCATCTCTTTCAAGAACGCAATTTTCCATATTGCCATTTTTCAAGAAGAAAATGCTTAACATTATTCAATTTGTCTGATGCACCATAGAAGCAATGACACTCCATACAATGCAAGGCCTTAGACTGCTTAAAATGGCCACTGTAGGCTAGAGAAACGTGCTAGCTAGTTGCTTCATTGGCACACTATTTTCCCACTTGACGTAGACATGGAGAAAATGGCTCTGAAATACTATTAGGCGGAGGGCCGCTATACACCTGGCTTTAATATAGCGTGTCTTTTAAGCGCCGAGGAGAAATATGAATTTGAGTCCTATCACCAGGTGAAGGTTAGAGGATGAGTGGGCATGCTTGTGTTTTTCTAAGCATAATTTTACATAATAATCAACATATTCTTTGGAGACAAAAGAGAAAACAGATGTAATAAAGGTCATTCAATGGCAAATATTCATTCCTTCTCCAAGAACTAGTGATGTGTATGTATTAGCGTAGCTTCAAGTAAAAACACATGTGGAATCTTCTCGGAGCACCAACCTCGGGAGGGGTTAACTGCGGCAGCGCTGCTTTTCTAAGGCATTTAATTGGGTCTCTGCTAGATTATGACACAAATTGTTCTCCACGTAATAACATTATCATTGCAGCCCACTTCTTACCATTGGGTAGCATTTGTGTACGGTTTCCATTGCCAATAAAATAGTCAATGAATAAAATCACTGTAATCATTTCACTGATTTTACAGATTAGCCAGCCAGACAATGGAACAATCAAGTAAAAGAATCAAGCAGTAATTAATTAATTCATTAATTTATTCATTTATTAATGAACAAATTATTTTGCTTAATATCGGAGCGGTTTCTTAAGACATCTTTAGCAGAACCTAATAATGTTAGTACAATCCTTGATCAATGGTAAAAAAAAAAAATGTCCGGTGTTTTTTTCTGTTTGTTTCGAGTGCTTTGTTTCAGTGCTGTTTTCCTGGATTTATGTAAGCTTTAGAGCAACTTGATTCAATTCAGGCCTAAATCCTTCAGTGAAAATGGAATATGGCCAGAGTGCTGGAAACAATGGAAGATGATGACTACTTTAAACGTTTTCATAGACATTTATTGGCAACTTTGCAACCATGTTGGAGAGATGCCCAACATTTTCATCAAAAGTTCATATTGTTCATTCATGTTCTGTTCATTCATTCAAACATTCTGGGAAAAAAAATCTGTTGGAATGAAAGAAAAAAAACATGCGGCTGCCAGACACATGCAAACACCAAACAGCCTCTACACGCACACAGTGCTTTATACAGAACACAGCGAAACAATGGTTCCTTACAAGACTGATCTTCTAGCGTTTTCCATTTCTGGACTTCTGGACTTTCCATTTCGGTGTCCACACAAGCATTAGTGCTTGTAGCACCACTGTCCAAAAGGCCATGTCTTTGTAATAAAAGATGTTTTATGATATTGGAATCATATTGGTGTTAGCAAATATTTGCTTAAAACAATTATAGCCGTTGGACAGATGTTTAAATTTGACCAATATTTCAAAGTGATATTTGATGATGGATTTATTGTACTTCAGATGAGCTGAATGTTTAGGCATAGCTGGGCTACTGTGCTGAAATATCTGCTTTCTATTCATTTTACTGCATTTGCAATCCTTTACAAAAATATTATATTTTTCTTTATAACGTTCATGTATTGGCATCAGCAGATATGTGCTGAAAAATACAGGATATCGGCCTCAGTTCACAATTTTCATATAGGCACAGCCCTCATTTTCACATTTCGTCGGCATTTTTGTAATATGTGTAATACATATTTTGTAATTAGTGTAATGCAAAGGTTTTAGTGCTTCAGCTCGTTTTGTTTATTTTTTAAGTGAAAATATTACATACTTATCACACACAATTACTATTTATTTGCAAAATCTGACATATTGGGGAAAAAATAAAATGTAGCGTGTGCAAATTTTACATTTTACATTCAATTTTTTATATGTTCAACTCAGCAAATAAATTGTGCACTAACACATGCATAAAGTGCCATATGTAAGTGTGTTCTCTGTAGAGAATATGTTAACTTATTTTCACTTAGAAAATCAAAAAAATATGTGTTCAAACTTTAGCATACAGCTGTGTATGTAGTTTAGTAATTATTTAAAGTATTTTTGTCCCAGTCAACAAGCATAATTTGAAATGTATGCCTCACTTCCAAACAGACATTGAATCCAGGCTGAAATACAAACACACAATGCATTTTTTTTTACATATTTGAAAAATGCCTGTGGCTGTTTACACTGTGTCAAAATTACATTGCAAGTGGACCAATAGAAATGACAAAATCTTGAAAGTTTTTCCTTCTCCTGTACTGTCACTTTGTTGGAGATAACAGCGGTAATCAGATTTTATGTAACTTCATATTCAAACAGTCAGTATTCCTGCAACTCAAATGTCTTCTTATGCAACATGATGAATGTTAAATTCCTCATTTCACAGAGCAAAAAAAATTCTTAAAATTAATTGTGCAGCAGAGGTGAGTTTAGTAGCTAGCAGTGCTTTAACAGCTAAAAGACAGCCAAAGCAATAAATAGTAATGAGTGATACTGCAAATGAAAGTACACTGAAATATTTTAATATTTTTATACATTTCATATCTAAATTCCATGTATTTTATGGTTGAAATGTAAAATTAAAACTATATATGTATATATAAGACAATACAAATAAATATATATAGAGACACACACACTTGGTTAAAAGAGAAAAACAATCAACACATTATTATATGTTGATTCAACCAATATGGTGATTGTTTTTCTCTTGTAGCCAAGTGTCCAAGTGTACACATCACAGCCACCTTCATCTTTGCTGTTTTCTAGTATTCATATGTCTAAGAGAACGGCAATAAGCATTTCAGTAAATTTAATTCAGCGTGACTCCACTGACGTTTCATCTCCCAGACTGGCTTTCACATTTGGGTGTGGACGCCCAGGGAGGACGTTCCATTAATTGCATTTTAAGACACAAAAAAAAAGCAGCAAACTAAAGTCCCTCGATATGTCCATTACAATAGAGACATTTAGGGCAATAAATTATGTTTAAATGAGAAAGATTAATTTTATTCTGAGGGGAAATAATGTGCAACACTTTGTGCTAATTTAATCAAATTTAATTTTGGACCTACATAAACACTGTTCTTTTTTTTTTTTAAGATAATCATGTCATAAAAATGGTTTGTTTACAGGGAAATCATTTGTCTACACCTTTGTAATGGACCATTAAATATCCGTCTAAGACAGGAATATATACAAATCATGAAAGAGCGGTCTGAATGATCAAAACGGTGCATTTTTTTAACGTTAAACAATCTCACCGCTCTTCAAATGTTCACACTTCATATTAAATATCACTGTTTGGCTAGCGGAGCTGGACTCGTACTCGCAGGCCTCGGAGGAACTTCAAATTCAACAGCCTTTATGACCACATATGTTTCTGGATTACACAAATGTCAAATATCTTGACCGTTAACTGAACAGACTATGCAAACAAATGCCATTCCAGAAAACGTCTCCCAGTGCACCTTATTTTCTTCAACAGTTCATACGTGTAGGCATTGCACTGCATAGCTTCCCAGTCTCTCTCGCTGTCTCTCTCTCTCTCCCTCTCTGAAATAAGATATCTGCTAAAACAAATATCTGTGAAACAAATCCAACCGGTGGTAAATGGTTTAGCAACTGTTATTAAGGTCACTGTAATTAAAACTAGATGTTAAGTCTGAACCCAGGGGCTCGATGCTGCGACGGCCACAACCAAGTGGAAACAGATGTGTTTTAGTTGTATCCCATCAAGAGAAATGATATATGGTGACCCATAATATAGTGCAGCAGTGGCCAGAAACTCTGCTTTGGTTTACTTTGTAGTGACGTGCTCCAGCTAAGGTGGATCTACATATTTAAATCGAAAAAGGACTGCTGCGGTTCTGTGGAAAGATAAGAGTGAACACTATTCAACCCAGTGGTTGTTACTTATATACCTTTAATTGGAATAGAATCTTTACATTATATGAAGGTTATGCTTTAAATAGGGTCTTCAGACTGACACCTTTAAAGAACCATCCACTGAAAGGGTCTTTGGAAGAATCAAAAGTAGTTTTTCTATTGCAGAAGTGCCCAGACCTTTTGTCTTGAAGGGCCAAAATGCATTGTTTGTGGTAGGACATAATAGTGTACAAATAAAGAAGGTACATAGTTTTTAAAATGTATTTTTTAACATTACACTGTATTTTGTTACTAAAACAGTCAATTATATATAGTATAATATAGTTTGCTCTGTCATTTTAGTATAAAAATGTTAGTATAAAAACACGTTTGTATGTTTCTGCTCATCGTCCTTGTTTTCATACTACAATAAACGGGGTGGGTTTTGAGTAACGTTCCGGTGGGCCAAATCAAACATCCTCACTAGCCAACTTTGGACCACAGGCCACACTTTGGGCAGCTTTGGGTTCTATAGCATCACTCCAAAAACCCTTTTT